TTTCATAATCAAATAATTAGAAAAATAGTTTTATCGAGATGATTTAGCGGCGTCGTAATAATTGTATTCTAATAAGTAGCGGTATCTATTTCGACACTTGTGGATATAGTTTAAACTGTGCCCGAGGCATCCCTATATCCGATACTTACTGGATACTCCGATGGCCGTTTTCATTTCATAATTAGGAAAATAATTGCAACATATTAAAATAAAAAATTTTTTGCTTGTATTGCTATCACTATGTGTGGTTACATGGACAGAGATTCATTATTTTGACGAAAACAAAATTTTTGACCTATAATTAATAATTGTATTTATTAATCGCAAGTTGTTGGTCAACAGGGACGAGTTCAGCAAGTTTCAGTAGAAGATTTTCTGTGTGTGGTATCTATTTTCATACATGTACACATTTATATACTCAGGAGAAATTGGAGCCGCAGCCTGAAATTCGAAAATGTGATGCTTTTACCTGTATACAATATAGTTTTTTTTTTAACATTGATTGAGGCTAACAAATACAAATTACTGACTGATAAGCAAACAACATTCAACAGTTGTTATTATTATAGAACGTTTTTATTCGTTAACCACATACCTCCACATAGTACACCAATTTTCCAGGAAGTGGTTGTTTCAAACCGTTATTAAAGTCATTATCCACAACTGCCTTCAGGTTGGTTAAAGGTACTTGACAGGTTCAGGTAACTGCTGAGTCGTTTAATGTAACAGAACAGTAACCAGATTTTGCCCCAAAAGAGTGAATATCAATGTAATGTCTTAGTATCTCAAGATACAGATGAGCCTGATGGCGGAATTGATGAATCCATAAGAGTAAGAGTACAACGGTTATTGAAGTGCGAGGAAAAGCGTTGAGATAATACAAGTGGTCAATGGTTCTATACATAATAAACATTACTCTAGCAATTGAGGTATGGATATGTTTGACGGTCTCCAAATTCCTATCCATACGGTGTTATTCGGAAATACTGCATAATCAGCAATGTTGCTGAAGTTTGGCAACGAAAAGTTTTGTACAACTGCTTGCTCCATTGCGTTGTGAGGTGCGGCTATTGCGTTTAGGGAAAGGGCTAATAGGAGCGGGAACCCGGGAGGCCTGGTAGACGCTAGACACGTCGGTTATAATATTCTAGAGACATAAATCCGCCTGCCGTTCTCAAACATTAAGTGCTGCGACTGTTTGTTGCTGTGTATTATCCAATATTACGTTGACATTAGTTACAGAACCACTAGATAGGAATTCCGCCAATTACTAAGAATCAGTACAATACAAAAGTATCCTGTTTCTTCGATAGCTACTTCGCACGTGTTAATACTGTTATCAAAAAGGGATTGGGTGCTGCCAGACTAGAGTTGTCATGCCGTTGTTGAAAAATAAACCGAGCTTCCTTTTGCAGCTGTTCACTCAGCCGCTGAAAATTTAGCCATGCATTGTCTGATAAGAGAAGTAAGATGGTTAGTAAAAATATCCATCATTGAATGACTGGTCTCCACCAACAAAAAAATAAAAAAAAAAAAACACATTAAAGAAGCACGTTCGCTTTCACATATTCATGCTGCCAATTACTAGGAACTGTTACAATATGTTCCTTCGATGAACTTCAATATGTTCCTTCGATGAACTTCAATATGTCTACCGATGTGTCTTTGAAAAAGATCGACAGATAATACCCTATCATGCACCAAAACTCCTTATTTGGGATGCTCACATTAACATACAGTATGTAACTTACCCTGAATATCACAAATATAAAAAAAACTACAACATCAAAAAATAAAGAAATATATAAAGACAATTTAAACAACTAATTATCCGAAGAAATTCTCCAATAATTGTCCAACACAGATATTTAAAACTATGAGATGGTGAACTATTTTTCTATCAACAATTATTACTTACAACTAAATGCGCTCAAACAATTACCTCCAATTTTTCCACAAACAATTTACCAGACGAACAGTACAACATCACGAACATTATCACTGCTAATCTAGGCCCAATGCAATGTGAAAAATATATTACAGGATCTGCAGGGACGGGGAAAACGTACATGATTCACTTACTCACTAATTGGTTAAAATTGCACAAACAGAAATACATGTTGCTAGTGCCAACAGGAGTTGCAGCACAAAAAGTAGGTGGCCACACTATTTATTCTGCCCTACAACTATCACAATCACCATCAATCATTGGCTTTACACAACCCTGTCTTCAAAAAGGAACTACTTTGAATACAAACAATCATTATCAATGAAATTTCAATGGTTTCAGCAGCCCTTCTCAACAATTACTTGCAAATATCCACAACAATAACATTGCCTTTGGGGGATTAATATCATAGTAGCTGGAGACCTAGCTAGCACAACTACCACCAGTAAGGGCAACACAAGTATTTCATTCCACAATATGGCACTTATTCTATCCGTTATTTCTCTGCCAACCCATGGAGACAACAAGATGATAAACTGTTCTATCAAATACTTGAAGAAATAAGATGCGGAAACATTTCCCAATCCAATCATTATGGTATGAAATGACAAAAAAGGCAACTACATATAATACACATCAATCGCAACACACATTATTGGATACCATCACACAACAGATCCAATTTGCAACATTTTACCAGTCAATAGCAACAAATGGCTAATCACAGATGCTATTGATTTTCAAGAAGAGACTTGCATAGCATAGAAACACAATTCTCCCAAAAAGAGTTTAAATCAAAAACAAATTTACCAACTACAGTTAGATTACAATAAGGTGCTCGAGTTATGTTTATAAACAATTCCCTCATAGAACATAGTATATGCAAGGGGACAATTGGTATCATCACTGACTTAGCTATCAGTATCCAGCCTGATTGAAGTTGAAGTAGATACTAAAATAATAAATAAATTCTATTTGTACCGAGGGGGATTTTGGTGTCAGATGAAAATGGGTTGATATATAAAAATCAAGGTAAAAAAATGTTACCAGCTTTCCTTTAGGAAAGATAACAAAATAAAGTCCCACCTTCTCATGATTTCATCACTCAAAGCCAGATATATAATTAATAGAGAGTTGTTAAATATGAAGTATCCTTATTATATAAGAAAAGTAGATAACTATATATCTTTTTCTGAACTAGAGAAGAAAAAGGATGGTTTTATTTTAAATAGATAGATTATGTAACTAAATTATATAATTAATTATGCTTCTATTTCTAAAAGTCGCTTTTGGAATCTAGTCCACAATTGACTCTTTTAGAATCTATCTAATTATGTGGAATATAATATTTTTTATATTGACTATTAATAATGAAACTATGCATCATGGGATTGTTTTTGTATAATTCAATCCATTTAGTATGCCACTGATTAAATTGTTCTTGAGTCTGAGGATTTTTCACTTTATGTTTCATTAAACATAGAAACTTTTCATCATCTGGGGTATTATCATTTGGTGAGTTATTCCTTGCAAGTTGTGCATTTGATGGCTCTTTTTCTTGGAACTGGCAGAATGTTCTTTGTATAATTCTTGCATATCCATCTCGAGATTTAGGTTTATTATTATCATACTTGTGATCCCAATGTTTCTGCATCAAATCATCTGGCTCAATAATTTCAACATACCTATTTCTAGTAAAATGGAATGATTTCTTTGGTTGTACATCATCAATTTTTATGAGTTTCCAGCAATCAAAGCAATATGACTTTTATGGATTCTTGGCCTACAATAATGGAAATTATTAAATTTACCTTTACCATATGACATAAACAAACAATATCGATGATATATACTAAATTTTCCTGAATTTAACAAATTTTGTAATGGAATTCTTACTGTATTGCCCATTGAACAGGTATTTTGTTCTGTTTTATGGTAGATAATGTATCAAATAATCTCTCATTATTGAAAATTTGATTGGGTTTATTTTCATAAGTTCCACGATAATGTGATATATATGATACAACATACTTCATATCAAAACCAGGATGATTAATATATGGTTTAGGAAGTTTTTTATCTTTTTTATCAATAATAGTAGTGATATCAAAACCAGACATATTTATTGATTATATTGTATTTAGGATATTTAGACCTATTTGATTTAATAACTATATACTCTAGAATATATGATTCAATTTTTGTGTGATTAGGTTCTTGGACCATCTCTTCAAGAGTGTTATAATCATCATATTTTGTGAGTGATGTATATGATAAAAATGGGAGAGATTTTCATACATATTGATTGTAGTGAGATATATGGGTATAAAAATCATTTGTATTATTGTTTGTAATTTACAGAATAAACATATGGATATCTCGAGGTATTTATATAGGTACCTTTGTGCATATGAATCAAAAAATCACACATGTATATATTATGATCTATTTTTGACATGTAGAATCTATGTATTACAAGCATATAATCAGAAGGTAAAGTGTAAATTTTTTATTAATAAAGATTTCAGGGTTTATTTTTTTCAATGCTATATTTTGTAGTTCCATAAATCCAAATAAAACTCATTAACTGCCCCAGCAGTGACACCTCCAAAGGCACCATTAAAAAGTTCAATGGCAGGAATATGCAATTGATAAATTGGAATACCAGAGGCATTGCATGCAGTTGCTGAAAACCCAACGCCAACAATGTTAGCAAGTGGAACACCAATATTCATAAGAAATCCTATTGTATTAGGATGGAGAGGTGCCGTACCAAAAGATATGATGATGTCCGGCACCGTATTAATTTGATTTGTACGTAGGTAGCGCAGTGCAAGCATTGC